GGCAAATACGTTGTTAATTGTTGCTATGGTTATTATTTCCCCTGGAACGGATGAGAAAATGGAAGCTTCACCAGCTAGCTCAAGGTCCCAGAGATTGTACATGATAGGTCAAGGACAAGAATCTAGGTCTGTCCAGCTCCCAATCTTTGGTCTGTTTCCCATTCCACGGCACATGCCTTCATGACTTCACGGTCCCCCCCAGCACAAGGAAATGATCCAAAAAGACTCCACACTGAGTAGATCGGGACCTGAGGTCCGGGGAATCACCAGGGACGGGGTCTAGAGCCCTTCCTGCAGGTGAGGGTAGCAGTCACAAATGGCTGCCCCCCTCTGCACCCCCTCGCTCATATCCATCTGACAAGTATCTACTGGGCATGCAGTACGCACTTGGCCGAGTGCAAGGGGTTCAGGAGACCCAGCGGAGAACAGGTCAGATAAGATCCTGCACTTCTGTCCCGCACAAGCAAGGCAGGGAAGACAGATGATAGAGGGGCGAACAAATATATTTATTTATATATCCATGGATTTTGTCCATCTATTCAATAAATAATTGCTGAGTACTTACTAAACACTGGAGATACTGCAGTGAGCAAGGCACAGGTGGTCTCTGCCAACACAGAGCGTCCGTTCTCGTGAGGGGCAAGGGGTGCCACATAATAAGCAGAAAACCAAAAATATAATAAAATAAACATAGTATGTCAGGACATGAATGTCATCTATCTCTAACTAGCATAAGTGGGATGTGGCCATGGCTTCCTACCTTCCTTCAATAGGGAAGTCAAGGGGATACTGAAGCACAGCCCCCCAAAATGAGAAGGATCCAGCTATAGGAAGTGCAGGGCAAAGCATTCTAGGCAGAAAGAACAGCACTGTGAGGGCCTTGAGCCAGGTCCTCTACTTAGCATCGTGCAGGGATCATCACTTTACCACCACCGCACCAGGCAGACACTATTACTAATAACAGATAATGAGGCTCGAAGAGGAAGACGGACTCCTTGAACACATCCATCCCTTAACGCCTTCATGTGGCAGAGCTGGGATTCGAACGCAGGTTCATGTTACCACTGGAGCCCGTGCCTCAGTCGTGATACTCAGCCCCTCTGTCCTCTAAGAAAGACGGGCATCACCAGAGCACCTCCAGAGGGGATGAAGGGATATTCTGGCCCTGCAGCTGATGCCACAGGCACAGCCAGCAGCCTCGGGGCCACCTGGCAGGACCATGCTGCACAAACAGTCACTCCCTGGTCATAGAGCCAGATCCCAGGTTTAAGCTGAGTATCTCGTCACTGTCGATGAGAGGCTCCACCACAGCCATTACAGGATACCCTAGCTGGCTCTCTTTGCCTCTTTCCTCGAGACAGGATCATGGAAGCATGACGACATATGGGAGAGACGGGTAGGGAAATGGGGAATAACAACACAATAATAATAGCAAAAACTTTTATAATGCTTCCGGTGCTAGCTACCGTCCCAAGGGCTTCCGTTATGCTAACTTGCTTAATCCTCAAAATAAGCCTCTAACTTCACCCCCATTTTACAGATGAGGAAACTGAGGCCCAGAGGGTCTTATCACTTACCTAAGATGGCACAGCTGATAAATGGCAGAGCAGGGATTTGAACCCAAGTGGCTGATTCCAGAGCTCACACTTCTTTTAGCCTTATTATGACAAAAGAAGACAAACAGAAAAACACACAGAACAAATGTATAACCTTGTGAATTGTTATAGTGCAAACACCCTTTTAAGCAGCACACAGGTCAAGAAATAGAACTTTGCCAGAAACCCCAGGAGCCCCTGTCTGTGCGCCCCTCCCAGGCACAGCCCCCTCCTGCCCTCTCTCTAAAATCAACCGCAATTCAGATTTTTATAGGAAGAATTTTTTTTTTTTTTTTAGGAAGAATTCCCTGTGTTTCTCTGCAGTTCTCTCACCGAGTGCGTATCCCTAGTCATTGCTGGTTAGTCAGCCCAAATTTGGTACCTTTTAAGTCTCTTTCAATCTATACGTTCTCCCTCCATCCCTCTCTTTTCCTTGTAATTATTTATGGAAGAGCTTTAGTTGTTCGACCTGTGGCTTTTCCCAGCCTGGATTTTGCTGGTGGAATACGCCCAGTACAACTCAGCACGTTGCTCTGTCCTCTGAATTTCCTGCCAACTGCCCGCTGGATCTAGAGGCATGCTCAGACTCAGGTTCTATCCTTCTGGCAAGGTCCAGGGAGGCGGAGCAAGGGGGGAGGCATATTCTTCCATCAGGGGCATGGAATGTCTCTTTTCTTCTGTCTTTTGATCAGAGCCCATGCCATTAACCACATTGCTATAGGGATGCTTCCCAGTGTCCTCAGCTGCTCTATGATTTGCTCCACCCCCTGGACATATCTGTCTCCAAAAGCAAGCCTTTTATAGGCACCACGGTTGCTGCTGCCGAGAGCCTGGCTGGCGCTTGAAGGCAGCCCTTCAGAGGTCCCACCTGAGCTTCTCCACACTCCAGGGGCTGCGGTGGATGGGGCCCTGCCTCCCTGATGAGCATCACCTCTGTCTGCTTCTCCCTCCAGCCCAGTTCACCAGGCAGATGGAATTCTGCGTCATTTCCCAAGAGACCCAGGCTCTCCCTTACCGCTCGGCCTTTGCTCATGCTGTTGCCTCAACCAGAAACACTCTTCCCCTCACCTCTTCCGACTGAGCATGGCTGATCCTTCGGGTCCTAGCAAATCTGTCCCTCCCACCCTACCCCCACCCTGCCAGATTACCTTTTACAGAGCCTCATTTCTCCTAGGCTAAACTCGTAAGTAGCCTCGTAAGCAGCACCAATGCCACTACATTATACCTGCTTGTTTTCTTAACCATTTTCCCTGCTAGAGACAGGGACCCTAGCCCCGGACCTGGCATACAGTAGGTGCACAGTAAATGTCTGTCCAATGCATGCATGCACCAATGAATGAATTGGACTTTACGAATCACATGGAGGCAAATCCAGGCTTGGACTGAAGGACCTTTCAGACAATGAGAGCCCTTCTAAGATGACACACACCCAGTTGCCCCACCCCCCCGGGGTGGGTAGTTAAGCAGTTGTGTGGTGCAGATCACAGAAAGAATTCCCACCTGGGTGGCTCAGTCGGTTAAGCGTCTGCCTTTGGCTCAGGTCCTGATCCCAGGGTCCTGGGATCCAGCCCCGTGTTGGCCTCCCTGCTTGGTGGGGAGTCTGCTTCTCCCTTTCCCTCTCCCCCTGCTCCTGCTCTCTCTCTCTCTCTCAAATAAATAAAATCTTAAAAAAAAAAAAAAAAGAATTCACACCTGGGATAGAATCCATCTAGAAAAATGAGTCTTGGTTCTTGGAACATAGCAGAATTTTCTCTTCAATCTTACTAGGAACCACTAAATATAAGCCAAGTTCAAGAGGAGGAGTTCGTGTTTCAGCCCTGGAGGAGGCAGAAGCCCAGCCCCTGGGCTTTCCCTTGTCCTGAGCACTAGGGTTTCTCTGAACAGTGGCCTGCCTGTATTTTCAAGTTGCTTTATCATAGCCACTGTGTCTGCGATTAGGAAGCCACCACACTGGGGAAAGAAGTGTCCTAGCTGACACCCTAACTCCACCCTATCCCTGTGGTGCCGCCGGGGGCTCATCCCTTCTTCATACCCACAGAAGCCCTCTTTCTATGAACTGCTCCTCTGGGCCCCCAAGGCCATCCCATTTCTGAAACCATGTAGATCGGAGGGCTCCGGGCCGAGCCAACCCAACAGAGGAGCAAGCAGAGCTGCAGGCCTGCCTTGCGGGGCGCGGAGCCAAGGGCTTAGTCTCGGAATTGGATTACGAGAGTGAATTTAGAACTCCCAGCAACAAACCCCCCCTCCTCCCCAGCCTCAGGGACACGGGGATTACCCAGGCCTCTGGCCGGGGGCCCTCGGTCCTTCCCACATTCCCTGCCAAGTGTGAGAACAAGGATCCTGCGGCTGCTGTGCATGAGGGCAGGGATCTCTCCACCCAGCCCCCACTTCCAGCCTTTGGCCCACAGCCTCCCCCCACCCCCACCCTGCTGCCTGGGAACACACCTGCCTCCCACGTGTCTGGGACTTACAGCAGTGTCAGTCAAATTGTGGCCCAGCAATTAGGAGGACTCACTTCAGTGCCCTTTCCTGGGGATGAGCCTTTAGTTCCGCCAGAATCCACCGCCTACTTCTATAACCGTGGCTGTGGAATTCAATGCTTTGGTGAAATGCATATTCTCTGGCAAAACTATTCATTACTCTCATGTCATGGGTGCTCTTGATTTGTTGAGGCTTTTAAAAGCCAAAGTATGGTCCTCGACTGGCAGCAAGGACCCCCCCTGGGAGCTTGTTAGAGATGCACGTTCACGGACCCCACTCCAGACCCTGAATCGGAATCACTAGAGGGGGGCCCAGATCTCTGGTTTAACAAAGTCTCCAGGTGATTCTCACACGCCACAGCTTGAGAACCACAGGCTCGAAGTACACGGGTCCGTCCCACACACCTGTCTGATTTCACACTAACCCTGTCAAAGATTCTGGGCAACTTCTACCCACTAACATCTCCGTTAGACTCCTTCAACCCTTCACCTACGGAACTTAGTTACAGTGATTACAAATGGGTCCTGTTTAACAGTGCCTTGCGCAGCTGTTATGTGAATGGCGGCCCTCGGAGAGGATTTTATTAGCCTTTATTATTCCCCTACTACATATGGGGCTCAGAGAGGGGACACGACTGGCCCAAAGTCACAGAGCAAGTAAACCCAGGGCCTAAGCACTCTACTCTCCCACTGCCCACTCTGCTGAGTGGGGGGCAGCTGTTTGGACATCTGTTTTACACACACCCTGGGATTTCCTCCGTGGCAAACACCTTGTCATCGCTTCCTCAGGAAAGCCTCTGCTGACCTCCCCGGAGGACGCTAGGCCTCCTTATTAGAGCCTACCACAGGCCCCTGCCTTTTTTGTGCATAAAAGCATCACGATTTGTAACCCCGGCATACTGAAGCACTTCATGTCTGTCTTCCCGCCAGGCTGGAAGCTCCAGGAAGAGAGGAAGTGGGCAGACCCTGCTGGATGCTCACCCAGTACCTATTCTCCTTTTCTTACAGAGCCTGACTTTGTTTGGGGCAGCTGGGTACCCAGCCAGATCACTATCTCCCCCAGGCTCCCCTCCAGTTAGAGGTACAAGATGCTGGCTTTTGAGATGACAGCGGGTCCCTAACGGTGCTCAATAAATGCATGCTGAACGCAGGACTGTTGGGCCAGCTCCGGGCGTGCAGTCGGTACTCGGGAAATGCACGTCATCTGACCGGGCCCAAGAAGCAAAAGACCCCCACAGCTGCCCTTGCCTGGGAAATACGTTTATTGGTTCCGAGAGAACAGGGCTGTGGCGAGCTGGGACGGGCACAGAGCGAAGGAGGGCGGCGAGAGGCTTTGCCCCGGGGCGGACATGCTGTGTGGGGGCTGCCGGCCGGGCTCCCTGGCCCACCCCGCCAGCAGCGGCTGGGTCCGTGGCACTTGGCGCCCGGCGTCACCTCTGCCGGCTTGGCACGGTGGCCTCGGCGGCGGCGGGCGCCCCCCCTTTCCAGTTGCAGGAGTTGTGAGTCTTTCACAGTGCGGAGGGGTGGGGGTCCGGGGTGGGCACCTCCCCGGGGTGCAGGCAGGCCCCGTCCGCCAGTCCATCCTGGGCTCTCGGCGGCTGCGGCGGGGTGAGGCGCACTCGGGCTCCTCTTCTCCCGCCCGGGAGCTTGGCAGTCCTGGAGGGGCCCTGGCGGCCTCAGCGGGACATCATCCGGACAAACTCTGCGAGGGCACGGGACGGGGTGGGGAGAAAACAGCACAGTCAGGCCCAGCTCAGGCCGCCGCCTCCAAATCTCCCTCGGATCCGAGGCCCCCCCACTGCCATCGGGCCTCTTCCAATCCATCTTGTGCACAGCAGCTGGCGGGGGAAGGGGAGCTGTTTCATCTACATGGCTGACCCCTCTGAAACCTCTCAGGGCTCCCCGTGGGAAAATGTCCAATATCCTGTCGCTGGCCCCGAGGCTCTCCCCGCTGTGGCCCCAGCTGACGTCTCTCTCTCACGGCTCACCCTCCCTGAGCTCCAACCGCCCGGATCTCCCTCTCAGGGCAGCGGGCACACTCACCCTCCCTCCACCTCTCAGCTTGCCTGCAACCTGTCCCCTCTCTCTCCTTTTCCTTTGAACTAGACTTGATTATTTGGAGTTTTAGGTTCACGGCAAAACTATGCAGCCAGTACAGAGTTCCCATTTACACCCTGCCCCACACCTGCACAGCCTCCCCCACCATCAACGTCCCGCACCAGAGTGGGACGTTTGTTACAATCGATGAACCTACATGGATGTGTGATTATCACCCAGAGGCCACAGTAGCATTCAGGTTCACCCTCGGTGCTGTCCATTCCATAGGTTGGGGTAAATGTGCAAGGACGTGTATCCACCGCTACGGTGTCATACAGAACGGTCTCACGGCCCTAAAAGTCCTCTGTGCTCCACCTGTTCGTCCCTCCCTCCCCCTAAACCCCTGGAAACCCCTGATCTTTTTACCATCTCCATAGTTTTGTCTTTTCAAGAATGTCGCACAGTCAGAATCACACATTATGTAGCCTTTTCAGGTTGGCTTCTTTCACTTAGCGAGATGCACTTAAGATTTCTCCCTGTCTTTTCATGGTTTGATAGCTCGTTTCTTTTTAGTGTGAATAATACTCCATTGTCACAGTTTATCCACTCACCAACTGAAGGACGTCTTGGTTACTTTCAGGTTTGGTAATTGTAAATAAAGCTGCTATAAACATCCGAGTGCAGGTTTCTGTGTGGTCGTAAGTTTCAATTCATTTGGGTAAATACCCCTTCCTTCTTTTTCACCTGGCAGTTCCTACTCATCCCTTAGGGCTTTACTTATTTAGAGCCTCCTCCAGGAAGCCTTCCTTAATCCCCCCTCCAGCTTGGCACAGATGCCCCCTCTGTACCCCACAGCTTGCTGTATCCCTCCCCAAACAGCATGGATTATACTGTTGGCTTCTGTTCTCCTTGCTGGTCTTGGGTTCCTCAAGGCAATCTCGACATACAGTAGGAGTACGATACATGCTAGAAGAACAAATGGGGGATGCTGGGCTTGTAGGGAAGGGCCGTTGTCTGTGGCGGTGGGGGGGGCACTGCCAGGACACAGGACGACCTGAAATTTTCAAATCTGGTGGCAGCAAAGCCATCTTTCCATGTAGCCACACTCTCTTCAAAGATTCTACCTGCTCCCCAGAAAAGACTTCCCAACCTTTGGGTTCTGGATACACTCACATTCTGGCACATGTTTATCTTGTCTTTCTGCTTAGAATGCAAGTTCCTGGAGTTCAGAGTCAATGTTTTACTACATTTTTGCCCTGTATCCCATAGTTGTCCTGAATGGTTATCACGCAGTGTAATGTATGTAGTGGTTGAGATTCCAGACGTGGAGTATGATCCAGCGCTGCATCTTAATAGTGAGGCGATCTCAAGCAAGTCATATGACTTCTCACATGAGCCTCAGCGTCCTCATCTGTATCATGAGGCAATAATAGTGCAATCCAGAGGGTTGTTGTGAGAATAAAATGGGACAATATGTGTAAGTGTACTTAGTACACTGGTATGTAATACATGTACAATAAATGATAATTATTGGAATTATTACTGATTCGTTTAAAAAAAACACTTTTACTGAGCATTAGCTATGTGCCAGGTGCTGAATTATGAGGAAATACAGAGATAAAGAAAATGTTCTCCAAAAGTTCCGTCAGGAGGAGACACAGCTAGCACTTGAGGGACAGTGTGAAGAACGAGGGCGAGCCCGAGGTGCTGTAAAAGCCCGGGAAAGAGGAATTCAGCCTGCAACCAGCGAGGAAGTGCCAGAGGAAGTGGCCCCACTGCTGGGTCTTGAAGGGTGAAGAGAATTTAGTCCAGGTGAAGAGCAGAATAAAAGGCATCCTGACCAAAAGAACAGTGCATTCAAACGAGAGCTTGGCAGGATCATGGGTCACAAGTACCAGAGTATGGCTTTAAAGCAGAGGGTGAGTAAAGGGACAGGTGGAGCTGCAACTGGGCAGGTGAGCTGTGGTCCGATCTCAGGGGGCCTGAGTGTCAGATTGATGGATGGGGTGCTCTGAAAATATCTAGCATGGATGGAAGCAGGAGCAGATGGACAGATAAATGGGTAGAGATGGATGGGGTCAGTAGACACAAGAATGGGTGGATGGATGGATGGATGGATGGATGGATGGATGGATGGATTGACCAATCGATGAGAAGATGGACGAAGATGGGGAAATGACTCTACAAACAGATAGATCAATGGAAGTGTGGGCAGAGATATAGGCAGATGGAAATACATGAATATATGAACAGAGGCACAGAAGTATAGATGTATGGGACACCTGGGTGGCTCAGTCAGTTAAGCCTCTGCCTTCAGCTCAGGTCATGATCTCAGGGTCCTGGGATCAAGTCCTGCATTGGGTTCCCTGCTCAGCGGGGAGCCTGCTTCTCCCTCTACCCCTGCCCCTTGCTCATGATCTGTCTCTCTCTCTCAAATAAATAAAATCTTAAAAAAAAAAACGAACAAAAAACAATCCTTTAAAAAAAAACAGTATAGCTGTATGGATAGACAGATGTACATGGGTAAGTGGATACATAGATGAATGTACAGAAGAACAAACAGATGCATAGATAGTTATATAAGTGCAAGAATAAATGGTAGTATGGATAATTGTTCAGAGATGGATGAGTGGATAGACACCTGGACACATGAAAAGATGGGCAAATGAACAGATGGCAAGATGGACTGATGGATGGATGGGGGTAGGAATGAATAGGAAGGTGGATTATAGGAGTGCATGGATGGAGGGGTAAGAGAATGGAAGGGTAGGAGCATGGAAAGTTGGAATCATGATGGATACACAGTTGGAAGTCTCCATGGATCATCACTACTGCCTTCGCTTCTCTTCCACATTCAAACCCCACCTACCTTCAAAGTCTACTCGTCCATCCCCATTGAGGTCCACATCTCGGATAATTTCCTCTATGTCTCGGTGTCCCACCTGATGACCCAGGAGTTTCCTCATGGCCTCTCGTAGCTCACTGGTGCTTATCTCCCCATCACCATTGGTGTCAAACTGGAGAGGGCAAAGAGGAGAGAGGAGTAGCTACAACATGGGGGAATGTAGAAGCAGATCCCAAGTTTGGGCTCCTTTTCTAGCCTCACTATCTCCCCCTTCCCCAAAGACCCTTCTCTGTCCAAGCTCCTTCCCCTGGTATGTGATCCAGGGCTCAGATTTCTCTTCAAGTAACCGTCCTGGGGTTGGAACTCTAACAAACCCCCCACCCCTGCCTGTCCAGTGCCCATTACTCACCTCTCGGAAAGCATCTCGCAGTTCCTTCACTCCGATCATATCTGCTGTTTCTGCCAGGAGTTTAGGTCCCATTAGCTCTACGAAGTCATCAAAATCCACATGGCCACCCACTGGAGACAGAGGAAAGGGCTAGGTCATCCATCCAAGCACTCCCCATCTCTAATTAAGCAAAGGAAGGCACTGTGAACCCCTCCTTGACCTATCTAGTGCCAGGTCCAGGGTACAACCAAAGGCCAAATGAGGACAGAGAGGTGACTATGGACAGTTGGTCTGTCAAGGAATGGCTCAGGGGGGTGGCCAGGGTTAGGCTGAGGGAACCAGTCAGGAGGTGGACAGAGGCAGATACGGATGGAAGAAAGAAACACTGGGGAGGGCTCAAGGTGGGCACACTGCACAAACTCCTGGAGCCGCCTAGCAGAATGAGACTCTCAGCACTCGTGGTGCTAGCTGGCTTGAGAGTTCACCGTGACTCTGTGGGCTGTGTCTCTTTGTGGTCTCACCTCTCTACTCCCTCCTGACGCTTCCCTTCACCTTCACATAAACTGCTTGCACTCAAATACTTGTCTCGGGGTCTGCTTCTGGGAGAACCCAAACTAAGACAGAGAATAACATAGGAGTAATAGCTTCCTTCTGTTCAACAATCCCTGTGTGCCAGGCCCGGGGCTGTTTCGCAGATATTCCCTCATGGACTTCCTGTGCTTCTCTCATTTTACAGTTTCCTCCTGAGAAAACAGGCTCGGAGAGGCTAAGTCATTTGCCCCAGGTCACAGAGCCTGGAAGAGATGGCCCCAGAACTGAGACCGGGCCTGTGTGACCGCAGAGGACCACGATGGTGGGGCCGGGAAGGGAAGGAGGGCACAGTGGAGGGACTCACGGTTCATGTTGATCTGCTGGGACAGCTCAATGAGCTCCATCTCGGTGGGCATGTAGCCCATGGTACGCATGCAGTTGCCCAGGTCCCGACAGTTGATGTAGCCATCCTTGTCCTTGTCAAATTCTCGGAAGGCCTCTCGGAGCTCTGAGGAAAAGAATAAAAGTGGGCATGGCTGAAGAAAAGACGAAAAATGGGACCCACAGAGCCTCCGGGCAGAGGCGGCCCGAGCGCCCGCCCACCGGCTGGGAAAGCCAGGCCCCGGAGCTGCCAGGACTGCACTCCTCTGACACCTGGCCCCACAGAGGATGCCCAGCCCTATACCAGGCCACGTCCCCAGGAGGCCAAGATGTCTCTTCCTCTCTTCCCAGCAATCTCCCTTCCCTCACCTTCCTGGACAGCTGAGCAACCCTTTCCCCTTAGGTGAAAGGTCTTACCTTCAATCTCCTCTGGCCGCAGCGATCTGTCCTGAAATAAAAGAACGTGTCCTATTAGCAGCTGCGAGGGGCCTAGAAGTCACAACATGCCCAACCTGGGACAGCAAGCACCAGGTGGGGAGAGTGCCTAGACCATGTCTTTGAGGGAAAAAAGTTCAGCCCCACATCCCCCATAGACACAGGAGATGCCCAGGGACCCCAGAGCCCCATCTGTGTCCCCATTCCAGACACAAGAATGGTGTCAGGGAACAGAGTTGGTCTGGAGGCAAAAACCTGTAAATAAAGCGGGGTGGGCAGGTTGTTGTGGGTCACAACAGAGAAGAAGTCTGCAAGGCAACGGGAGAAGGGCTAGAGGAACAGAAAGCCGGGACTAGACAGGCTGCCTGAGAGGGAGGAAGGGGAGGAGGAGGAGCCACGGGCGTGGAGGCAGATTTAGGGCTGTGCCCTCCTTCTTGGGCATGGCCCACCTTCTCCAACTTGACCCCCATCCTACACCTTGCCCCGTCGTGGGACACAGCATAGGACCCTGGGGACTGCCAGTGCCAGGGGCTGCCGCCAGGGTCCAAAGCACACATCTCCAGCTTCGAGCCGTGCCCAGGTCTCCTTGGGGACTCAAGGAAGCCCTGGGTCTAGGGCATCTGAACAGATGGCAGAGAAGTCTCCAAAGAGCAGGCCCAGAGGACGCACAGGGTGGGCTCTGGCCCATGAGGTGCCAGTCACTCCAGGCCTTCCCAGGAGGCAGACAGATCAGCACGAAATGGATGCCCAGCTGGACCTATTCAGTAGGCTCCCAAACTGGCGCGCAGGGCTCAGCCTCCCCACATGTCACAGCTCTCTGACTTTGGGCAGGAAGAATGTGGGGCAGGGTGTGCCTGCCCTAAGGAAGCGCACGCCAGGTGTGGGCACACCTCTCATGAACACACACAGGCGGGCCCCAGCAAGCATGAGGCATCTCAGCTGTGCATGCAGGCTGTTCTAGCCAACAGGGTCAGGGCAGGCAAGAGACAGCTTCTGCCCACCCACTGGAAACTGGCCCCAGGACAAGAGACGCCAGCTCCGGGAACTCTGAGAATCTTCTAGAAAGGGGCTGCTGAGGGACGCCTGAGGGGCTCAGTTGGTTAAGCGTCTGCCTTCGGCTCGGGTCATGATCCCAAGGTCCTGGAATCAAGTCCTGCATTGGGCTTCTTGCTCAGCGGGGAGCCCGCTTCTCCTTCTGCCTGCCTCTCTCCCTGCTTGTGCTCTCTCTCTGACGAATAAATAAAATTAGGAAAAAAAAAAAAAAAGAAAAGAAAGGGGCTGCAGAGCAACATCTTGGGTGGCCAAAAAGGATGATTTTTGCAATGCCCTGTACCCCCAGCAAGTGAAGTGAGCAAGTAGGCAAGTGTATGCATGCACACACCCTAGGACAAGTCATTCAGACATGAGTCCTTTCCCACCCTTCAAGCCTCAAGCAGCATCCCACTTCTCCAGGACGCAGCTCTGCACGATTGGAGAGGAACAGGGTGCTGCTGACCCCCACTGCAGCACCCTCCCCTTCTTGCATAGCCGGAGCCAGGGAGCAGGAAAGCCAGGTACCCCTGCTCCGTGTGCCTCTGGCAGAGCTGGTCTGGCGGGGTCCGGGCGGCCGACCGTTGGATCACACACTCCCCTTGCGGAGCAGTGGGGGTATGTGTAGTAGAGCAGGGGATGCCCACCAATGTGACAGGGAAACCATGAGCACCATCCCCAGGGGTCAGATGGGAAGACAGCACATGCACACTCCTTTCTCCTCAACACATGCGGTCTGGGAGAAGAGCTCGGCCTCTAGAGTCAGACAAACTCAAGTGCAAAGCCCGATCTGCTACTTCCTAGCCGTGGGGCCTTGGGCAGGTCACTTCAGCTCTCTGAGCCACAGTCTCCTCATCTGTAAAATAGATTAATACCAGTACCCATGTTACGGGGCCTTTGTGAGCATCCCGTGAGACGAGATATGTAAAGTGTTTAGCATGTGGCATTCAGTAAGTGGAACCTGCAAATGTTTGTGTCTGTAACATCATCATTATTACCCTCCTCCCTGTGACTGTTCAGATATCTGCCCGGACATAGGAGCCGCGCGTGTGGCTATTTAAATTGGAATCGGAAGCCAATGAAATTAACAGCTGCCCTAGCCACGTTTCAAGTGCTCAGTAGCCACGTGTGGCTGGTGGCTACTGTATCGGGCAGCACGGATCGTAGAATATTTCCACCACTGGAGGAAGTTCCCCTGGACAGGCCTGTGTATTCAGTGCTGCCGTTAGGAGAACAGGAAGCCTTTGAGTCAGACTCCCTGGGTTTGAAGCCGACCTCTACCACCCCCTAGCTGTTATCTTGAGTCTGTTTACCTCTCCAAATCAGTTTCCTCATCTGTAAAATGGGGGTGATAATAGGACTTACCTCTCAGAGTTGCTCTGAGCCTTACATGAGGCGATGCACCAAAGGACTTAGCACAGAGCCTCACACAGAGTATGTGTGCAAAAAAACAAGCAAGCAAGCAAACAGAAAACGTTAGTTGCTATTGTTACTTCTTGCTGGTGCATGTGGACACACCAGAGCTTTGCAGCCATGGGTGGGAAATTTGGGGGGGGGTCAGATTCACAAGTTGAGGGTTTGGGGTATATCCATGAGGGGACACGGGTTGCTGCGGACAGAGCCCCTCTTCTTCCCAGCACCTCATGCCCTCTGAAGCCAAGTCGAGTGCGGCTCCACTGGGGCCAACTTACGTACAGGCTGCCTGTTCTCGGCGAAGCCCTTGCGCAGGAAAATGCAGGCGGGGCCCAGCAGGTTGTGCATGACGGCGCAGTTCTGGGCCAGCATCAGGAGCGGTCCCGGGAGCTCGCCGCTGGCTGCCGGCCCCTCCTGGCTCATCTGCACCACCGTGTAGCTGCTCTTCTCCTCCCGGCGCATCTTCAGCCAGCACCAAGCAAATACAAAAGAGAGGCACGGTGTCACCTCCCTGCCCCACGGGCCCTCCTGGCCTCAGCCTGGCTCCGGGTCCTAGAAGGGGCTCGCCTCAAGAGGAGACCCTTGAGAGTCAAACAGCAGGGTTCAGGATGCATGGGAGGCAGGAGTCAAATTGGTTCAACAGATGGAGTCTCTGATCCTTGACTGTCACGGCCGCTCCAGGGAGATCTGGGGGTGACACCCACTGTGTGGGACATGTGCACACACACGCTCACGACACGTACACACGCAGAGAATCACACACTCACGTGCATGTGGAAGCTTACAGAGAGAAGGGGCGGGGCAGGGCTTGGGCTCCAACCAATGGGAAATGCTCACTCAGAGACTAATGAGTACTATCCTTGCCCAAGATGCTCCCAGACGGATTTGTGGCCGTGCCCCCGCTGGACCCCACTGGAAGGCAGTGAGGACAGTCAGAGCTGGAACCATGCAAAGCAGGCTCAGGTGCGCTGCTGGACTGGCAGGTGCAAACACAGGGGCCTCACTAACAGAAACAAGCAGGTGGGAGAAGAGGGAGGCCTAGGGCAAAATGGAAGACCTGAGAAGGGATGGAGACCTGAGAAAGGATGGAGAAGAACACATCCCCACGAAGGAGGCACCAGTGGTGGCTGGGGATTTTCCACTTCATGTCTTGATCATAATACCCCCTGGCACCAAGTTGCCCCGGGAGGCTGCTGTTCTTCCCCTCCCCAGAGGCTGTAGGCTGCCTCTGAAGGGGCAGAGCCTTACTTAACTCAGCCCAATGTTTCCTTCTGACTTAAAGCACTGGCTGGGCCAGGCAAAGCCCATCTGTGGCTCAGATTCTTCCCAGTTTGCAGCCTCAAGACTAGACACTCTCTGCCCCCAGCAGCTCTCTTTCTTCCCCCTCCTGTCTGTCTCTGGCTCCCCGCCCAGTTTGCCCGACCTCTAGAGGCTGAGGCAGGGGCCCTCTCTGCTTACCGAATATAGCTGTGCTCCCAGGCCCTGGCCCTCCCCTCCTCCTCCCTGCTGGTTCCCATGCAGCTATAAAAAGTCAGAACTGTCCATAGACCGTCCCCTTAGGACAATAGCAGCATCCAGACCCAACATTCTACTCCATTCTGGCCTCCACAGGATGCCCAGGGCCCCCCAGGATCCAGGACAGGGTGCTCTGCCTTCAGTCCTGAGCTTGGATGCCTCCCCTCAGTGTGAGGATTTGGAGGCAAACCTTCCCAAGGAGAAACAGAGCAGCTAATACTTGGAGGGCTGTCTTTGTCCTAGAACCCCAGAGCTGCAGGCCCTACCCTTCTATCCTGCTGCCCCCACCCCCACTTGCTGCCAGGTTCCTCCAGCTGACAGAAGGTCATGCTGAGGAGAAGATCCTGTGACCTAGGGGGCAGCCTGTCCTCCCAAGATGAGAAGCAGAACTAGTTCCCCCCGGCTTACCTCATCCTCCCTCTCCTCTCCTGCCTCTTCTCCCCAAAGCCCCACACTCTGGGGCTACAGACTAGGCTCCCCTCCAACTTCCTAAGCCTCTCAGGCCTAGAGAGGGAGGAGCAGTATCCTAGTTCAGACCCTGGGTGAAGGTCCTCAGTGCAAGGCCCAAGTCCAGTGAATGCAATAAGGGTGGGTCTTTGGTTGTCTCAGAACTTGAGAGATGTCAGAGAGGCCAAGGGCCATTCTGGTTTGATGTCCAAAAGAGTTCGGAGCCTTAGCCATACTCACACAGGCTTCCAGGACCCAGGCTAGAGTGAGGGCAGAACCAGAGAGATCTTCCCAACTGGGAGGCTGGCTCAGAGGAAGCCCGGGAGTAGAGAGCGGCTGGACCCCAAGAAACAATCTCCCGAGATGTGTGTAGAGAATCAGCCTTTTCATTTCTGGCTGAGTCTTGCACACTTGGCTCAGAGTGAGCACAAGCCCGGAGGGTGGAGGCAGCAGGCAGCAAAGAACTCTGAGAGGTGATTCAGTGCCTGGCTTTGGGCTCCAACAGTTTGGGGACAAATTCTTGCTTGCTGTGTGACCTCGGGCAGGTGACTTCACCTCTCTGTGCTCTAGTTGCCATCTCTGCCCAGCGGAGAAATAAACGAGCTACTG